GTTATCCCAGTAGTTCAGAGAGTTCTAAAAAAGAAGGGACCTCTGATTATAAAAGAAAAAGAAAGATTCTCCCAACAGTTATGATTAAGTTTAGTCCAACTTACGTTATAGGGAATAGATGGTGTTTTCACACAAAATATAAAGTTAGTAACATATTTCCTAAACCAACCAGGAACCATTTCCTTATACAGGAGCTTATAAAGATGAAAATACTTGGATAAAAATAAAAAGAGTATAATGTAAGTACAGCCCTGTCTTAGGTTTGTTAATTATTAAACATAAAAAGGCTGAATAGATGACGTATTCTATTAAACAATATGCTAGACTTGTTTTGCACCACTTAAACAGTTGGTGGGATAGTCATTAATTTTCATGTAATTCATCAATGCTTTGCTTTAAAAAAATTGATTAAGTGCTTAAACAAAGAATCTATGTCACAATCACACACTGTATAAAAATGTTAATTCTCCTCAATAAAGTTACACTCAGATGCAACTCTTTTGAGTCTGTGTCTGTCTGTCACTTCGCCGACTCCTTTGCCCACCTAGCCTGAGATCCCTGTCCCATCGGTCCCAGTGCTCCGGCCGAGCTGGTCCGTCGCAGTGGTGGCCCAAAGCACCACCAATCTACCCTTTCACTGTTCTGTGGGAAGTCTGGCTTGGGGCTGGCACACGCTGTCCTGCGTTCCGCAGGCTTCCCTAAGAAGCTATTTCCTCTCCAAGCACAAGGCTTGAGTTCAAACTCTGATACTGCCAAAATAAAATGCTCACACCTTCAAAAAAGCTTTTTTTCCCCCATTTGTGTGGGTGCTGGGGCTTCAACTCAGGGCCTGAGTGATGTCCTTGAGCTTCTATTTACTCAGGGCTAGCTAGCACTCTACCACTTGAGTCATAGCTCTACTTCTGGCTTATTTGGTGGTTTATTGGAGACAAGAGTCTCATGGACTTTCCTGCCCAGGCTGGCTTTGAACCACAATCCTCAACTCTCAGCCTCCTGAGTAGCCAAAAAAGGTTTTTCATTGTGGCAAAATACCCATGATTTCACTATCTTAGCTATTGCCGAGGGCATTCATCCTGTGCAACCATCACCACATCCACCTTCAGAACTTTCTCATACGGTGCCATGAAACACAAGTCCCCTCCATCTGCAACTGACACTCCCAGGTGCTGGTGCCCGCTGAGTGGGCAGCGCTAGGAGCCTGCTGAGACATAAAGGCACTGGTTCCAATGACATCTATGTGGTGCTTCCTTATCTACCAGCAGGGAGTTTCAGGAACAAAGCATCACCAGACACTACATGGAAAGATGGGAAACCTTCCCGCCCACAAATGACAATTTAGCAGTCATAGATATTGACAATGGGGAATATCACCTCCTGGGCTATCAGTTATCCTTTTGTTTTGTTTTTTTATGTTTTTTTTCTGGTGCCAGTCCTGAGGGTTGTACTCAGGGCCTAGGCGCTGGCTGAGCTTCTTTTGCTCAAGGCTGCCGCTCTACCACTTGGGTCACAGCTTACTTCCAGCTTTTTTGGTAGTTTATTGGAAATAAGTCTCATGAGCTTCCCTGCACAAGCTAGTTTCAACCTGCAGTCTTCAGATCTCAGCCTCCTAACTAGCTAGTGTTACAGGCTTATTTTTTTTTTTTTTACTAAGTCCCTTCCACAACCCCCTCCAGCCATAACCAAGAACAGAGCGTGTTTTTCCAGGTTGCAAACAGCCAACAGATCAAAAATATCACCAGGGAAAACAGAAAACAGCCTAGATCTTGAGACATTGGTTTGTTATACCAGTCCTGGGGCTTAAACTCAGGGTCTGGGCACCGTCCCTGAGTTCTACTCAATGTTGGCATTAGACCACTTCAGCCACAGCTCTACTTCCAACCTTTTGGTGGTTAATAGAACATAAGTTTCTGAGACTTTCTCACCCAAGCTGGCTTCAAACCGCGATCCTAAATGGCAGTGTCATGAGCTGGATTATGGGTGTCACTGATGCCTGCTGGCTCATCAGTGTTTTGAACAGAATTCCAAACAGAGGACCCAGAGATGGGGAACCTCAGTGTGTCCTGTCACATCCTTCCGGTAAGGGACATTCAACCTGCTCCTCTCGCTCCCTCTGCTGCCATCGATTCTTCTGCCTAGGGTCCCACCCTGCTGCCCAACTTGGTCTTAAACCTGTGGACTTAAGGAACCCTTCCTTCTACCTCAGCTTCCAAGGGCTGGGTGTGGAGGGGCTGCTGCACAGGGTGGTACCCCATTTGTGAAGGCGTCCTGGAAGCGTCCAGCTCCAGCAGGACTGTGAGATCGACTGGGAGGAGGCAGCAATCTCCAGCTTCATCTTTAGATGACAAGTCGGAAGGCAAGGCTGTGCGCATGGCAAAGCCCATGGTATGTGAATCCCCACATGGGGGCTCCCTGTGGCTCTGTGGCCTGCAGGGCAGAGGAGCTCAGTAGGGCCTCTGCCGGCCCAGCAGTACCCACAGAGTTCCCGATCTGGCCAGCACCCCCCTTAGGGCCAGAATCCACAGCTGGAACTGAACATCACCCCAAGGACTGCCCATTCCGCCAGCCGGCAGCACCAGGGCACAGCCGTGTCTCACTCTCCTCAGGACCCAACATACCTGGACGCCCCCCGCCCCCCACCCCTCCGTGGACATCTTGTGAAGACGCAGGAGTGAGCAGTTGACCTTCAGGCTATGGCAAAAAGAAACCATCAGAGCTGCCTGCGTGGCCATCCCCCTGCCCCGCCCACCCTCTCCCCAGGGGCAGTGGCTTGTCCAGCCAGCCCACCCCTAGCTGGCTCTTCAGGGAAAAAGCGAGGGGAAGGGGGTGGGGCAGCAAAGAAAACCCTGGCCCCGAGGCAGTGATTTTTAAAACCGGGTTGGGGGTGGGGGGGGTGAAGATGAGGAGGCCTGTGGTGCCCTGGCCTTTTCCTGGGCCTCTGCTCAGCCCCCATCTGCGCTCCCAGACACCGCCTGCCCTGTTGTCACACTGCCCAGCCCCGCCAGAGCTTCCTCAGGACCAGCCTCCCACAGGCCACTGAAGCCTTGCCAGTCGCGTCTCTTCCCCCCACCCCCGCCCCCGCCCTGAGTGAAGGACAGGCCCTGTCCTCAAACAGGGCACCTGTGCAAGCCCTAACCTGGGAGGTCGGCGCAGGCCAAAGCCGTGCTGCTCAGGGGGCTGCGGTGGTGTGGGAGGTGGTCGTGAATGCACGAGCTGGAGGGAGCTTGTCAACAAAGCCCTCAGGAGGCTCCACGGTGGGGGGAGGAGGGGGAGACAGGCCCCGCTGGCCCCCAGAAGCCCCAGACAGCTCCACTCCAGACGGGGAGGGGCCAGAATGGCCAGTCCCATCTTGAATCTCAAATCATGGGAAACTGTACTGGACCGGTGCTGCAGCCGGGCCCGTGCCACTGTGGACGTGGGCGGCCCAGCAGGCCTCGTCCAGAGATGAAGGACCTGTGGAGGTCTGGGCGGCCCCCAGCCTGGCCACGGCTTGCTTGGGGAGGGTGGCCATCAGCACGGGGTGCTGGCTGCAGAAAAACAACGGTGCACAGCGCAGCACGTGTGAGGGACTAAAAAGACAGGAGGCAAGCCTGTGAGCTACTCAGGAGCATGGTCCAAGGTCAGCCAAGGTCACAGGTATGAGACCCAGTCAGGAAGAAAATAAAGCCAATAGGTCTGGATGTGTGGCACAGAGGGAGAGTGCCAGCCTAGCAAGCGCAGGGCCTCGAGTTACAACCCCAGCACCACCAAAACAAGGAGAAAAAAGAGGACAGGACGAGGAGGAGCCACTACCCGGACTTGGGACTCGAGGCCTGTCCCCATCAAGACCTTCTGGTGGGAGGGGTGACACCAGCTCTCCTATTTCCTCCTGACACCAAGGCTGTGGGCGGCCACTTCGGCTGCTGGACACCTTCTGCCCCAGCCACTTCCCCGCACACCCGCTCTGCCCAGGGCCACTGGCTCCTTCTGCCTGAAGATGACCTGTTAGCTACACAGCACTTGGTGGGGTTGAGTCCTTATTCAGAAACAATCTGTAAATACATTTTCTCTTTTGCTTAGAATTCTTGCTCAAAAACCAGGTGGAAAAGTGTCTGTGTGGGCTCCTCGTGAGGAGCCTGTGTGGCTGGCAGGGGCGCAGCCAGGGGACCCGAAGGCCGTGGGCCCCAGGGGCAGTCCGAGCTGGCCACTTAGAGACACACGGGCCCAACGCCACCTTCAACTGCAGAACAAAGCAACCAAACAGCCAAGGGAATAATGGAATCAAAAAAGTTTATTCTGAATACTTAATTTTAAAAAATCATATCTATGAGGTGTGCTACAGAAATGCAGATACAACAGGCGCCTATAAAACCTGTCCTGTAGTGGAAAGGCAGGGACTATGCAGAAACGCACTTCGAGAAAGAAAAGGCGGGCAGCAAGCACGACTGCTCTGCGACCCAGGCGGCAAATGGCTGCTGGTTTCTTGGGAGACCCAGCCAGCCTGGTCCAGCCTCCCGGCTTCTCCACAGGGCCAAGGGGGTCACCATTGAAAAGCTGCAGGCAGGCAGGGACAGCCGCTCCGGGAAAAGCTGCGGCAGCCCCTGGCAGGAGCAGTCCCACAGCCACACTGCATTTTAGCCCAGTCCACCCCCTGCCTTTTGCTGTGCTGGAACACAGTTTGGCAAACAGCACACTCCCTGACGGAGCAAACTTCTGCCATCTGCACTGAGGCACAAAGACACACGTTGGGTTGCCAGGCTGCAGGGGCTGTGGGCCTGAGCCCAACACCAGCGTCGGGCATAACACTTAGACGGGCTTTTCCACTGTGGCCTGGAACTGAGACAAGGCAGGGAGGGGCAGGGCCCTTCAGGCAGGGCAGGCCAGGCCAGGCCCGGGGAAGAGCCCTCACAGAAGACTGGAGTCCCAGGGCAGGTGGGATGGGAGACAGGGCAGGGAGGCCACCTAGAGGGCAGCCTGGGTTGTAGCCGTTATGAGCCCTGCAACTTCACAGCACACGACTGGACTCCACCACGCCCCTCATCTGGGAAGCCGGGCTGGTCGAGCAACTCCACAGCCAAGACCCACTCTGCACACGTGGCTGTGAGTGCAACTGGCCTGTGCTATGAGATGCCAGCCATCTCCCTGGACACTAGGACATGGCACTCCGTGCCGCAGGAAAACTAGCCCCTCAAGTGGCTGCACGTGACAGTCAACTTGGCAGAAAAAGAAAAAATCCTTCAATGGATAAACAATGACCAAAGTCCTCCTAAGAACATGATTATAATATATTAGCGAGTTCTGGGGCATAGACATTTCTGAAAGCATCAGCAAAAGTATTAAATATAAAAGCAATATGTATATTCCCCTCCCCTCCTTTGGAAAACAAAACACAAAAACCAAACCCCAAACCAGCGAAGGCATGATCTGTAGTGTCAGCTGGAATCAGCCGTGGCCGGCCTGCGGCCGCTGGCACCCTACTGCCGCAGCTCCACGTAGTTGGCCGGGAAGAGCCCATACCGGCCCTTGCATACCCCTCGCCACCAGCCATCATCGATCATTTCAATGTTGGTGATGATGTCATCAGGGTCAAAGGAAATCTCGTCATCGCCCGCTGGGGAGAGAGCAGAGACCAGCTCAGATGCACATACTGTCTCATCTGCGGCCGAGGTGGGGGTCAAAGCCTCAGCCCCAAGGACACGGGACCCATGATGGTGAAGGAGGGCATTGCAGAGGTGGCTTAAGGGAGCACAAGGAAATCTAAGAAGCTGAGGCTGTGGGCTGGCCAGGAAGTAGGGGGACGAACAAGGTGTTCGGAATGCCCACAGCCCAGAGCTCCATGACACCCGGGCACACGTGGACACACAGCCGTGTGGGACCTCCTCACAGGAGTCAGCCTCCTGCTCAGAAGGCAGGGGCACTGGGAGGCCGCTGTCAGAGGAAGCTGGGGTCTAAGGACCTCAGGGACCTGCATCCCAAAAGTGCTCCTCAACCACTAAAATAGTGGAGGCTCCGGACGAGGCAGCAGTGTCCACCATAACAGCAAGGGGACAGACGCAGGGTGGCTCGGGAAGGTACGGGAGGAATTGTGCCATTCACAGCCTGCAAGTGAGGACAGCAGGGGACATGCGGGGGGCTATGGGCATGGAGTCCTCACTCAGGCAGGGCGTGCTCCACTGGAGGCCTTCAAGGACAGAGAAAGCCTACAGAGAGTGAGGGTGAGGGGTGGGATCCGGTAAAGGTATCAAGAGTAGGGGGGTGGGATCTGGAGAAGGGGGTGAGGGGGGCAGGATCTAGTGAAGGGGTGGGATCTGGAGAAGGGGGTAAGGGGGCAGGATCTAGAGAAGGGGTGAGGGGGTGGGATCTGGAGAAGGGGTGAGGGGGCAGGATC